TTTTTCTTCTACAGAAATGTTTTTCACTGCTTATGTTTTGTGTAGTTTGAGATCACTGAAGCTCAAAACTAAAGGACAAACAATACAAAAAAAATAAAAAAAAAAAACGTCACCGAAAATGTACAAAATGAAATCAAAATTCTCGCTAACCCTGGGTTAGCTTAATCGGGCTTTGAACAACCCGGCCCAGGTTGTTAATGACAGAATAATGTGATTCCATGCCATATATGTAGGCCTAGGTATGTTTTTGATCTGACGTTTTGTTCTTCCCTGATAAAACGCAGATGTGGAGGAATGCACAGAATCGAGTGTCAGTTGTGAATCTGGAAAGAAATGCACAGAGGCGTTTGGTGGATATGAGTGCACTTGTGAAGATTCCACTCAGTACGGTGAAAATTGCGATAAAGGTCNTGATCGATGCACTGAAGGTTTGTACTGAAAATGAAAAACATTTCGATTAAGATTCGCAAATTGTTTAAAAGGAGGGAGAAGTGAAAATAGGTTGTCAATGAAATGTGGGCCGGGTTGTTCGAAAGCCGGTTAACGCTAACCCAGGATTAAAAGTTAACCGAGGTAACAATTTTTCTTCTACAGAAATGTTTTTCACTGCTTATGTTTTTTGTAGTTTGATATCACTGAAGCTCAAAACTGAAGGACAAACAATGCAAAAAATAAAAATAAAATAATAATAAAAAAAAACGTCACCGAAAATGTACAAAAATGAAATCAAAATTCTCGCTAACCCTGGGTTAGCTTAATCGGGCTTTGAACAACCCGGCCAAGGTTGTTAATGACTGAATAATGTGATTCCATGCCATATATGTAGGCTTAGGTATGTTTTTGATCTGACGTTTTGTTCTTCCCTGATAAAATGCAGATGTGAAGGAATGCACAGAATCGAGTGTCAGTTGTGAATCTGGAAAGAAATGCACAGAGGCGTTTGGTGGATATGAGTGCACTTGTGAAGATTCCACTCAGTACGGTGAAAATTGCGATAAAGGTCAGTAGCACCTTTAGATTATCACAAATATTTGGTAAATAATGGAATGTTATCGGTTTTCCGTGAGAGAGAGGGTGC